ATGTTAGAATTTGAAGGTTGTTTTTTTCCTCTTCCCTATCAAACTAGATATTCATACATACACAAATGCTAAAAGCATTTCTGCATTTGAACAAATCGTTTCCTTTGTATGGATGCTTTTTGTAATCCAACCTAGTCGTTCTTCTTCAACATGTACTGAGATCTAAGTGTTCAATTTAGAACCCAAGCTTTAATAACTCAGAGATGTGTTATTTGTGAGAAGTCTTGTCTACAGAAGGAACCATTAGAGAATTCGGCAGACAGAAGATACAAAACAAAAAAGTAGTCATCCCTTGGTATTCATGGAGAATTGGTTCCAGGACACCACCAACCCCCTTCCTCATAGATACCAAACTCCATGGATGCTCAAGTCCCTTATATAAAATGGCGTACTATTTACACACAACACACACAATCCTCACATATATTTTAAATCATCTCTAGATTATTTATAATACTTAATACAATGTAAATGCTATGTAAATAATTGTTGTAGTATATTGTTTAGGCAATGACAAGGGAAAAAAAAGTCTATACATGCTCAGTCCAGACACAACTATCCATTTCTTTCCCCCAAGTATTTTTGATCTGTGGTTGGCCAAATCCAAGGATGTGGAACCCATGGAAGTCGTGGGCTGACTGTATTAATAGAAAAGTGGAAACATCCTAAGATTTATGGGTGTTTTAATTGGCCAGCGCCTCCCTTCTTTCCTTCTGAAGATGTATCATAACTTGTGAGCGATGTTAATATTTTCGTTTTCTCACCAAGGGCCACAATTCCGAATAGGGGCTTTAAAAAAGCTCTGGACCGGTTTCTTTAGCAATGAAGCTAACACTTAACAGTATCATCAGCTTTGTGTAACATCTCTCTTTCTTGACTGTTGCGTGAGCCCTCCTGGGTTGCCTGCTTCTGGCCACATACCCTTCACCCCTTTCTCTGCACTGTGTTATTTTTCATAAAGTCAGAGTTGGCGTCTATAGGCTCTCTGCTGCCACGTTCAAGTTCAAGACCTGCTTCACTCAAAGCCATTTTGAAGCTGCAGAAGGGGATCTGGGAAGGGGTTTCTGGAATCGTCCAAGTCTTTCAAATTTTTTTGGGAAGCTATATTTGGAACCAAGACAGAGGCCAAACCCTCAAGATCCCTGAGGATGTTCCTTGCTGAATTTTTTTTTTGGGGGGGGTGAGAGGGGGACGGTGCAGATAGAAAGCATCTTCCAAGATCATCAAATCCAACTTTCTAAATCCTAGGGAGGAAACTGAGGCTCAGGGACGTGAACTGCCCCGATGCAGCCCTTATCCTTTACCAGCGGGCTCATCCGATCTTCCCTAGCGCATCCCCTGGACCTCCAGAAAGGCAGCTGAGGATGGGCGAGTGGAGTCTGTAACCACTGGGACAACCCACAGCCTTCCCCGCTGAGGGCCCTGACGGGGAGGAGGCCCTCCAATGACAGAGCCAGGGCGGGAGGGCGAAAGGAAGGAAGGGGACCCAGAGGTGGGAGTGGAAGAGCAGCCTCGCCCGGGGCTGATTGGCTCCCAGGGCCGCCCTCTCCACGCGCTTTATAAGAGTTGGGGCTGCCGGGCGCCCTGCCCGCTCGCCCGCGCGCCCCAGGAGCCACCGCCGGGCTCCGAGTCAGCGCCCCACGTCGAGGCCCCGCCTGGCCCCGCGCCGGCCCCGCCGCAGCCTGTGGAGCTGGCCGCAGGCAGACGAGACGGGGAGGGAGCGCGAGGCAGGAGAGCGCCCGAGCAGCGGGCCGAGCGCCATGCGCCGCGCCAGCCGAGACTACACCAAGTACCTGCGCGGCTCCGACGACATGGGCGGTGGCGGCTCCGGAGCCCCGCACGAGGGTCCGCTGCACGCCCCGCCGCCGTCGCCTCCCGCCCCGCACCCGCCGCCCGCCGCCTCCCGCTCCATGTTCGTGGCCCTCCTGGGGCTGGGGCTGGGCCAGGTCGTGTGCAGCGTCGCCCTGTTTCTCTACTTCAGAGCGCAGGTGAGCGGCCGCCTCCCCACCCAGCTCGCGCCTCCCGCACCTGTAGGAAACCGAGTCTGGCCGCGGTGCCCGGCTCTTCAGATCTTGCAGACTCTGGAGGGGAGAGTGACTCTAAGGGAGGAAACTTCGGGCTCGGGGACAGCCAGGCGCGCTCGCCCCTTCTCTGCGCACGCAGCCCTGCCCTGCTGCGCGCTGGGGCTGCGCTCCCCCAGCCAGAGTGCAGTGGGTTTGATCCCCACTGCCCGGAGACAGCGTTGGCCTCTCACCTCTTCTGGAAGTGATCGCACGCTTTCTCCCCCCTGCCGTTTCTCACTTGAAGTTCAGAACCAACTTATGCTTCTATAGGAAAAAAGTTGAGCCGCCTGCACTTGGGCATCCACCCTTTCGTTCCCTTCCCGCCCACCACCTGGTGGATGTTGGTCTCTGGGCCTGGCTTCCTTGCAGGTGTGTTCAGGCCACAGTGCTGGGGGCGGGGGCGGGAGGGCGCCCCAGAGCGGAAGGTCGCGCTGCCCGCGGTCTCGATGCCCAGGTCGCCCAATAGGCAGAATGACATAGCGCGACCAGAGGCGCCGGGTCTCGGGACAGGGGCACTGCTACTGCTGCTTCTGCTTTGTCCTGTGGGGCTCCGCTTGCGCGGGGTGAAGGAACGGAGACTGCCCCACGTGCCTTCCAGGGAGGTGGGCGGAGGAAGGAAGCAAGGTGTGTCTGATGATGGCACAGCCTCACTACAATCTAGCAAAAAACCAACCTTCGGAAAAGATGAAGAGGTTTTTGCACGACGACTCGGAACTGCAGGGAGATAGTAGAAAGGAAGGGGTAAATTTGTAATATTATGCTTTCTGGTGGTTATGCTCTTGTGTTTTCTTGGAAATTGCAGTGCAGTTGGTTGGATTCATTCAAATATTCTTGTCTGGTGCTGTGAACTCTTTCTCAGAGGAAGTGGGGGGCTGACTGTGCATTTTTTTTTTTATGGGAAAAGAAAGTTGGGTTTGGACTTCATTCGTTTTCAGATTCAAAGGTGATTACTAAACCAAACTGGATGCATCAAAACATGGCATTGCTTGGATCATATGGGTTTTTGCCATGTGCCAGCGTCTTGAACTCCATTACTTTTAATCATACGCTTGTTGTTAAGTACTCATTATCCACTAGTTTGCATTTTATAGAATTAGTATGATTATTGATGAGAAAGTAGAAATGCTATGAGCAATACTTCATAAAATTTGCATTTAAAAATGATCTTTACCCATTGAGAGAATTTTTTTTCTAAAAAGACATCTTTTGAGTTGTTTGTTTACTTGCAACATAGATTACACAAGCCTATATGAAAGTGACTAAATGTTTTTCTTTCATTAGAGTACGTTGCGGTAAAAAATGAATGGTTTATCCATTTTCCCATCCAGCATTTTGTTAATAACCCCATTAAATGTTTGTGCATTTAGTGCCTGTATTGTGCAGGGCACTACTAAATGCTATGGAATATGAGTTAAGAATCATTCATTCAACACACAATGTCCACCTACTGTGTGCATGGTGCCAAGTAATCAAGGGGCCTCCAACCAAAGACTGTTAAAATTCTTAGTGAAACCAGAGAGCAGTATTCAGAAAAGGGACCCAAGATGCAGTAGTTCTCCACTTTTCATCTTTCCTAACCCCTTATGGATAATGGCATTTTGGTTGTGATAATAGTGAAGTGAGTGTTCAGCATCGAAAGAGCAGTAGGGAATGAAGGAATTCTAGGAACCATGAACAGCTTAGCTCATCAGAAGCCATGGAAATTGGTGGCACAGCCATGTAGGAAAGTGTGACCTACTGGGTTCTTGTTACAGTTATTCAGCTTTCCCAGAGAAATTTTCAATGGTCAGGTGAGCTGAGAGGTCTGGCCTTCTGATGAGCACCTATCATCATTCTGATGATCACCTGTCATCACTTAGCAGTCTTGATGTCACATGGATGATAGTGAAACACTCAAAACCTTTTTCTAAAGTAAACATATGCGTTAGTAAACCTTGCTGGAAGTTTTTCATTTGGAGAATTTAAAGTCATCAGATTTTGGATACAGTTTTCCTGAATACCATAATAATTGGGTTTTCCTAAGACTTATGCAAAATATTGTAGCCATTATTTTGAACTCAATTTTGTACTGCATTTTTAAGAGGCCATCTTCTTCAGTAAACAAGTAATATTAGGAGCAATGTGTTCCTATGGCTACGCAGCTAGATCCGGTTGCATTTTACTGGGTATTGTATCCTTTATTACCTAAAGGAGCCCTAATCATTTAGAGATACATTGTAAAATCATTACAAAGAAAATGCTATGCTCTCTTGAGTTTGTTTCAGAATAATTGGTGGTGAGGGTGGTACGTAGGGAAGTGGTTGCTTGTGGATGAAATGAGATTTGCCAAACATTGATAATAGTTAAAGCTGGTGTGGGAATTCATTCTGCAATTCTTTCTACTTTTATATGTAGTAGAGGCCTTCTTTCAAAGGTCTAGCTAAGAGAATAGACTCAATTTGACCTGCCACTGATTTAACATTTTCACTTACATCAGCTCCTTTGGATTAGAACTCAGTACCAAATAAGAAATGGTAGTTGTTTGATTTCCACTAAAGTTGTGGATCAGCTACTTGGGGTTTCTGAATGCACTTGAATGAGAATGAAATGATGTAGTATTAGGTAACATGTTTGTAGTTTACTGTAAAAAAATAATAAAAGGAGCCAGTTTTATTGTTTTTGTTTGGGGGTGGGGAAGAAGGTATGTAAATCCTTAAGAAAAAGCAGTTTAATTCAGTTTTAAATGCATTTAGAAGAATGCCCAGAATAGTGTAAAAACGACAGTGACTATTTAAAAAATTTTTCTTATTTCAACTCATGTTTGAACAGTTAAAAATGAATCAGCCTCCTGAATGTTTGCAGATTGCTTTTGCCTAGATTTAAAAAAAATATATATGTACTAGATCCAGTGTAGATTGGCTTTTTCTCCACCATCCTGCCAAAGAGAAAATAGCATGCGGCTTGTGCTACATATTTACCACATAGTATTCATGCTTCGGTTTACAAAGAAAAAAGAAACCCTTTCAAAAAGTTGTTTGTAAAATTTGTGTGTGTGTTTTTAACATTGGCATAACCCATATTCAAAGTTTAGAGTTTAGCTGTAAGATAAGCTTTTCAGAAAACTCAAGATCTTTTGCTCTTTTAAGTTCTTCCCTTAATTCCCCAATATGCACCAACCACCCTCCCTGGCTGTCACCCACGACAGTAGTCACCGCTGAAAATCAGATGTCGAGGTGTGCAGGCTGCCTGTTTGAAAAAACAGATAACGAAGTAGCACAAATGTCAAGCATCCTGCTTCATTTAACCCTACAAATGATTAAGTTTCAAAGAAGTTTAAAAAAAAAAGAAGACTGAGTTTATCTCATAGGCACTATCTCATCTGATAAATGCGTTTTAAATGTCCATTTAAAATTAGATATTCAAGATTTGTTTAATGTTTTCAGATATGTCTAGGTACAGTGAATCCATTTTATAACTCAGTTTACTGTGTTTTTTTTGGTGAATTTCTGTGTTCCTCAGTTGAATGTAGGTGCCGTGAAGGCACTGCCTGCTTTGCTCATTACTTTACTTGTAGCATCTAGCCCAGAGCCAGGCACGTTTAACTTATTGGAAAGGCTTTTCAAATGATTTGCAGCACTACAAATAAGTCCATTTCTAATTTTAATATGTAAATTATCAAAATAGTAGCTAAAATAGTGTAATATTTCAGTCATTCAAAGCCTCCAACTAGATTGCTGTTTACCAGGAGATAGGTTGTTGGGGGAGGAGATACAATCATTTAGTCACTTGATGAGCATTTGTTGAGTGTCCGGCACCAATCTGCCTCCCTGCCCTGCAATTTCTTCAGCATAGAGGCCATAGCAGCAGAGGCTCTCATTTTCCTGTGCGTGTGGTTGACCTTGTACCTCCAAACCTCTGTCCCTTCCTTTTCTCCTGGTCTACATTTTCAGGAAATGAGAACTGCAAGAATGAGAAAGATATTTGATTATAGATTAACAATAAATTTCTTTCTTTCTTTCTTTTTTTTTTTTTTTAAACAGAGTCTCACTCTGTTGCCTAGGCTAGAGTGCCGTGGTGTCAGCCTAGCTCACAGCAACCTCAAACTCCTGGGCTCAAGAAATCCTCCTGCCTCAGCCTCCTGAGTAGCTGGGACTACAGGCGTACACCACCATGCCTGGCTAATTTTTCTTTTTTTAGTAGAGACGGGGTCTCACTCCTGCTCAGGCTGGTCTCAAACTCCAGAGCTCAAGCGATCCACCCGCCCCAGCCTCCCAGAGTGCTAGGATTACAGGCGTGAGCCACCACGCCTGCCCAAAAATAAATTTCTAATGTGTGATTCTTAAGTAAAGAAAATTAATGAGTATATTAAAACTAATTATGCCATGCATTCTTGATTTCTTCTGGGAAAAACAACTGATGAGGTTTTATGCATACTTTAGCTTTTGCCTTCCAAAATAGTGGTTCTCAACTGTGCATTTGCATTTGAAGTGCTTGGGAAAGAGTCTACAAGTGGACCCTACCCTTAGGGATGCTGATGAAACTGGCTGGTGGGGGGTGGGAGAGTGTAGGGTAGGGTGGGCATGGGATCTGGTCATGGGCATTTTTTAAGAGAAAAGGGATAAAATCTTTGCATTGTAGTTATTTGCATCAAATCATTGACCATTATTAACTGTTGCAGTAGTTTCTGCTAATTGGTGTTACTTGTGAAAAAATTTTAAAATTGGTGTCCAGGGAAATTTGGAGTAATTTTAACAGCAGAGAATCTGTATTTGTATAGTTGACATTTTACAGCAGTAATTCTCAAACTTTAATGTGTGTGAGAACCACCTGGGATCTGGTTCAAATGCAGATTGCTAGGCAGAGATTCTAAATTTCTAACAAGCTCCCAGAGAGCCCACGATGCGCTGGTTAGACTACACTTTGAGTACCAGGAATATGGGGGACTGTTGCTTTTGTTAGAAGGCTCTTAGCTTGTTGTCGGAACTCGAGCTTAACCAACTTTAGGGTCCCCAGGCATTTCCCCACTCAGGCCACACTGTTCCTTTAGCTCAGCAGTTTTCTGGTGGCGAGCCAGCTGAGGCCTCTGCATTTCTTCTTTCCTGAGGTCTGAACGCAATGACCCTTCCTATCAGTTGCTGAGGCTTTTCTGGTCTTGTGGGAAACTTATTGGCGTAAGTGAGGCTTTTTAAAAAAAAAAATTGTGCGATCGAAAGTTTTCCTTAGATAAAAACTCACATATTCTAACTTGTACTAGTTATTCTAAAGAAAATATGAAACATAACTATGGATTGCAAGTAGTTTTGCTTCGTGGTGGTACCTCTCCCATGATTATTGATAATTCTTACATTTGCCAGACTAGAATATAAAATTTGTATCAGTGGCTGCACATTGGTTAAAAGGCTATCATTTCATTTTTGAGAATTTCAGATGTAGATAGGCTACTTTCCAGTTTATTTTTGATGGTTGGTTAATGAACCGGCACATCTTTCTGACTACTTTTTAAAAGATAATGAGACCAAGGAAAGAGAGACTTGATATTAATTTGGATTGAGTTTTGGTTCTTGTAAACTTACGTAGTTTTCCTTTTTTTTCCATCTAGTTTGTACCTACTAATAAGCAAATGAACATGAAGTACCTTGAATATTTGAAAAAAGAGGACAAGTTAAACTATTATTATTAAAACAATTGATAGCTAATTATCACTACCCATTATTTGGCATCTGAAACCACTACAAAGGCTTGTCAGAGCCCCAGGAGGAGCAGGCGGACAATTTAAAGAGTAGTGCTTAAGGAAATGTTTACCCTGGATACATGTTCTAACCCAATCAGCTTGATGGGGACATTTTAGGTGGGACAATACCTTACATTACAAGAATCTTAACGTCCCCAGTACATATCTGTATGACCTGCCCATGCAGCCTGCCTATCTCAATGTGCCACCAAATATCACCTGCACACATTCCCAAACTCCCCTACTAGATGTACCACTCCAGGTTGAGAAACACGGATGAGAGGTTCAACAAAAAGAGAAATCATGCTTCTGGCTTCAGGTTTTGTTTGGAGCTAAGAAATGGATTTCTCTCTCCCTTCTTTGGCTGATTACAATATACACTGATAAGGGAAAAAGGCCAGGCAAACATGGTGGTTAAAGATGATGCTAATTTCGCCTAATTTATGTAGGCTTCATGATTTGAATATCCAAGTGGGCTTCATAATCCCATCTAGTATGTTGCAAATGACTTAAATACAAAACACTTTCTCTACCTGCAGTGACCACAGGTGACTTCCTTGATGTCCCTTCCTTCTGTGAGGACTTTTATGTTGTCAGACAATTTTGAGAATCTCCCCCATGCATCATATGTGTATATTTTTGTTGTTAACCCACAACTGAACAGACTGACTGTGCTTTGTGCCGTGGATGATAGTCAGCTACTCATCAAAATGAATTAGAAGAAATTACCTAATGGGTACAATGTCCATTGTTTGGGTGATGAATACCCTAGAAGCCCTGACTTCAGCATTACATATTCTATGCATGTTAATTGCACTTATACCCATAAAAAGGAGGAAAAAGTCAATGTTTTCACCAATTCGAGGGTAATCGTATTTCTTATTAATCATCAGGGACATAAAAACTTGAGTGAATGAATTATTTGTTCTTAAGTCATATTTTTTAAAGTAGCAGAATGACTAATGATAACCACTCTAACATCCATACTTTTTTTCCCCCTCAGATGGATCCTAACAGAATATCAGAAGATGGCACTCACTGCATTTATAGAATTTTGAGACTCCATGAAAATGCAGATTTACAAGACACAACTCTGGAAAGTCAAGACACAAAATTAATACCTGACTCATGTAGGAGAATTAAACAGGCCTTTCAAGGAGCTGTGCAAAAGGTAAGTCCACGCTGAGGTTGATAAGTCAAGGGCCCTTGCTGACTCTACCAATACTGAAAATTAAAACTGGCTAAGTGCTGTTGACTCTGTTCTTTTTATTTTAATAATTTGTAAAAGAGCTAAAGGGAATGTTTTAAAGAGATTAGCAGAATTCTTTTGAAGGTGGTAGTGGCTGATTATGGGGACCTGAGACATTCATGCAAATATTCTTTTCTTCTTTTCTTTTTCCTTTTTAAGAGGATGGATTTAAATTAGCACTTAAAAGGAGGACAAAGGTGGCTTGTAGACAGTCTATGAAATTCAGTTTGAATTCCCTGACCTGAAAACCTTCCCCTCAGTTCACAGGACTTTCTGGGAGCTATTTTCCTTTACATTTGGTTTTGTAATGGTGGAATCTCCTATTCCACATCTGTTGATCCAGGACTCTGTTGAGAAGCAATTGTAACTGTTCCTTTGTTGTCATCTGTGGTGAGGAGGTGAGTAAGCAGAGCAGAAAGTGATGTACTGGATGAGGTGGAAATTCTGTGTCTGTTTTCTCATTTTCTGGGAGAGCTGGGTGACAAGAGAGGACGTAAAGACAGAGAATACCAACAACTCCTTTTATACTGACAGATCCAATCGAAAAACACTGTAATAACTGGCTGTTTTACTTTCTTTCCTGGACAAAGCCACCTGACAATTTTGCAGCCTTGGAATTATTTTATTCACTGATTCCACCAAAAACTGGATAGACCCTCCAACAGTGACTCCAGTGCAAAACACCTGTGTGCACTGCATACCCGCATGCACACACCTATACATCCCAAGCTCTATTTGATCATTCCAGAGCAAATTCTGAAATTCTCAAATCCCTTAAATCTAAATTAAATTTAGTTTAATTTTTAAAAATCCACATATAGTGATAGCATTTTTTTAAAAAGAGGATGTGTCAGAGGTGGAGGTAGGGAGATGGAGCTGTTTTGTAAAACCAACTAATAAATGTCTATAACATCCTTAATGTTGAGAATTTGCTGTATTTTATCAAATTTAAGATACCACCAATTTTTAGCCTACTTTATTGTTTCATGTATTACTAAGAAAAAAAGTTGACTAGAAAATTAAATATGATTATCATAGCTTCTGAGTTGCATCTTAATTTCAGAAATACTAAAACATAAAAAAATGTGCATCATTGAATCAATGAAGTACATAGTACTCTAACATCTATAAGAGGGCACATTGCTTATAAAAATTATTTTCTCATTATAATTAGTGTATAGGTGCCTAGCTTTATGCAATAGGTGCATATTTTAAAATGTGGATTTAAATTCACTGGTCTTATTAACTTATCTTATAATTTTTGATCTATAGCAACAGCAATTCTGCTAATCTATTCATTTTCATTCTTCTGTTTTGTATTTCATTTTCATTACTCTGCTTTTTACCCCATTTGTGAAGCTTATCTCTCAAATACTGATTAATCTGTCTATTAAAAACAATTTACATATACTAGAAGTAATCTATTAGTTCAAAACTGAATCCCTTGTTAAGGTAATCCTGGTTAGGCAAATGATTGTGTCCTAATTTTCTGTTTAGATTGGCCTGTATTGTGTCTCTTTAAAATGAAGAGATCAACTTCTAATTTCAGTGGTGTCCTGATTCTTAAAGATTATTCTTTGAGGTTCTTGTGGAACAATAAGTATGCAATATTAGCCAAGATCATTTTGAAAATAAATAATATTAAGAACAGATACCATTAACATTGATTTATGAGCATGCAAGAATGGTTCAATCCCAACAGATTAAAGGAGAAAAACATATTATCATCTCATAGATCCTGAAAAGTGACTGACAGAATTTTTTATCTATCTCTCTTGTTTAAAATCCATCAGAGGCTGGGCGCGGTGGCTCACGCCTGTAATCCTAGCTCTCTGGGAGGCCGAGGCGGGCGGATTGTTTGAGCTCAGGAGTTTGAAACCAGCCTGAGCAAGAGCGAGACCCCGTCTCTACTAAAAATAGAAAGAAATTAATTGGACAACTAAAAATATATAGAAAAAAAATTAGCTGGGCATGGTGGTGCATGCCTGTAGTCCCAGCTACTCGGGAGGCTGAGGCAGGAGGATCGCTTGAGCCCAGGAGTTTGAGGTTGCTGTGAGCTAGGCTAACGCCACGGCACTCTAGCCCGGGCAACACAGTGAGACTCTGTCTCAAAAAAAAAAATAAAATAAAATAAAATAAAATCCATCAGAAAACAGAACCAGAAGGATTCTTGATGTTATTAAAAATATCTCAAACTAAAAGTTAGCTGCTGATGGAAAAGGTTTCTTAAAGTCAGAAACAAAACAAAGATGCCCACCGTACCCACACTATTTATCATTGTTCTGAAGATGCTAGCTAATGTGATTACACCACAGAAGGACATAAGAAAATACATACAGAGAAAAGAAGGTGGAATTTGCATGTGATATGATTGTACACTTAGGAAAATTCAAAAGAAAAAGTGAAAGGCTGTAGGCAAAGTAAAATAAATCAATTCATAAAAATTAATAAGTAATAATCACTAGCTGTCCGCATTTCAAACAATAATTAGAAAACATGAGTGAAAGATTCCACTCATAGTTTTCATTATTGTAAGAGCCTTTTGGAGACATAGTGCCTCATTCCACATGAGTAATACTAATGATGAGAAATTCAGTATCTGGCAAGCCGGAAGGAGAAAGACTTGTGGGCAGGCAAGAATAATTAACTACTCTTAATAAAGGCAAGTAGTCTTAATTATACTAATAGATTTTTACGACTCACAGGATGAGTAGAACTTTATTTCATAAATTTCACATTTGCTTTTGTTATACTATAGGATCTTAACCTTTTCTCATGGGTAATATTATATATAAGTGATCCTTTTTTAAGAATAAGGAGCTGTTTATAATATACCAATGTGTGTTTGGAGGTAAAAGATGACCTTTCTTCCCCCTAGACAAGATCTTTAGGAAGGAGACGAGCCTTAGACATACCTTATCATTAGAATCAACCAATGTCCACTAAGTGCACATACTGTGGTAGGCACATTGCCATATCTTCTCCTATACCCAAGGATTTATGCTTTTCTTACTCTAGTCAAATAAGGATTTGCCAAATATGTTATCCTTTGATGAGGATTATTGGTTAATGTGACATTCTACACATCTTGCCAAAATAGATTTCTCATTTCTCTTGCCAATACTGAAAATAGGGTAGATGCATTAGGCGTTCGTAAGTAGGTGTGTATCTTAGTTTTAGTTCTAATATAGATATTGAGTTAACCCGTAAAACAAAATTACATGTGTGGTTATAATCATTATTGAGAGATCAACCCATCCAGTGGTAATAGATACCAGACATAAGCACAATATCACATTATATGTGTGCAAAAAAATAGTGTTTACCCAGCCCGTCTTTGGTCAGACATGTAATGCTGTTTTTTTCCCCTTTTTTTGTTTGTGGCTGGGTTTGCTTGGCTTTTTCCCCCCTTTAGCACAGAACTCTGAAAGCCTCTCAGTGATCCAACTCTACCAACCACAATTTATAGAGTCTATCATAACAGTCTATGACAATAAAGAAAACGCTAGTACAAATATGGTGTCTGATTTATAAAGCGATTCTTGTTTCCAGTTTTGGCAGCCTCCCTGGCTTCTGCCAGCCAGGAGGGTAGAGAAGGAATAGTGAGCTCAGGCCCTAATGAGAACTGCCCCACATGGCAGGGAGGACACTTAGCCCTCAGACCTCCCGGGCAGTCTCAGCAGAAAGCCATCTGTTTACACACTAACTATACATTCTGAGTACTCAAGCTGTAACTCCATTTGACTTTGGAGAGCCAGGTTGTTGATTTCATATCGCGTACCTGTTTGTAAAAAACTCCTGAAATTTACTTGCAATGGTATTTGAAAGAATGATATGCAGGAAAAAGATCAATATATAAATTACACAAATCAGGTTGTTCTCCAAAATGGGAAGTTCACTGCTTTCAAGATGATCCCCTAGGATGCGAGAAGCAAGCATGGGAACTTATCTGTGTATTTATTTTTTAATATTAGCTTTTAAAAGCTATGTTTCAGTAAATATTTTGCAATGTGCATAACCTCCAAGGAGTGATTTTATTTAAATAAATAAATATGTACTTTTGAGAGCATTAAAATTGTGTCCCTAATACAGGTGCACAGTCAAAAATATTAAGAGGTCATGGAATGAAGCTAACAAGTCCATTGGGATAAACACTATAGCTATTTTGTGCACATTTGAATATATCACACCTAATTTTGTGTCAGAAATTGATGGATAAAAGAACAGATAAATGATTGATGACATTGAACTCTGTAAACTAATATTTTTGGGTAAAAATGGGACATCAACCAACTCATAAAGCCATTCAGACTCTTATAAACCTGGCTCACATTGACCTGATGTCTTACCAGTGCTACAATCGATAATTATGAATATTATAACCTGAGGCAATAATGCTTCAATATGTTAATAATAATAATACAGTAATAATACAGGTTAATCTTTGGTAGAAGTTGTCTCCAGCTAAACTTCCCACTTTGGTCACATTTCCTTCAGATTTCTTTGCCTTTCCATAGCCTGTTAACTATGTAGAGTCTGGCTTATCATGTGAGCTAAAAACATGATTCTGGCTCTTTCTATAAGTTCAATTTTATAAAACTCTCTAATTTCACTCCAGAATATGAAAAGCTAATGATGATACTGTAATGAATACCAATAAGTTATCTTGTTGGCATATCCTCGACAAACCATTTCCTGGAGTGCAAGCCTCTGAGCATCTAAAGCAGCGGTCCCCAGCCTTTTTGGCACCAGGGACCGGTTTCATGGAAGACAATTTTTCCAAGAGCAGGGAGGCGGAGCTCAGGGCTCAGGCCATGATGTGCCAACTGGTTCCTAACAGGTAGTGGGCTGCAGCCTGGGGTTGGGGACTGTAGGTCTAAAGACTTAACCAGAACATGGGGAAGAAGACCAGAGAGCTGTAA